CCCCCCCACACACACACACACAGAGACAACCCCCTGGGTCCGGGTATGGATCAATGCGACATTTTGAGAACTTCTACTTTTACAGAACCCTAGTTTGCCTCAAAAATCAAATTATTTTGTAACAGATAGAAATAGCTTAAGTAGGATTAGATAGAGGTGATTCATAAAGCCGACGGTGACTAATTTGGGATTGAGTAATTGATCGATTCAGTTATGAAATGCTTGATGTGATAATTATACTACGAGGAAATCTTTTGTATCATTTGAGTTTGTGAGTTCTTACCGGCAAACTCCGTTGTCATTCAGTTCCAAGCACATTTTTTTTCATTTTCTGTGTCCTTTCTTTTTCTTTTTCGAAATAACTTATGGATTGGTCATACTTATCAAAGATTAGGCTTTATTTAGCAGCTGATATCCAGTTAGGCGATATATTCAATGTAAATTGAAATACTATTAAGTTAAGTAGCAGTATCGCGACTTGATCTTCGTAAACTGTTAAGTTAGCTTGGTGAGGTAATGTGGTGAATGGATAGCGAACTAGGACACTGGAAATAACAATTTGATTGTAAAATCTTCCTATCGAATGGAGCTAGGGTTTTTGGTTACTGTCAATTCAAGACCTTCAAATATCTTTTGTTGATAGGACCAGCCAAAGCTGTCCCGTTTTACTTTTTGTTGCATATGAAATTCAGTGCGCTTAATGTTTATGCTCGAGGGATTTGCATTTCTACTTTTAGCTAGATAAAACTTTCTACACTTCATCGTTTGGCATTGAAAACTTTTGCACCTTTGGTGAAAAACAAATTTTCCACCAAAGCCAAAGGATCACAACGATAAAGCCAAAGGTGAAAGACAAACTTTTTGCACCTTTGGCTTTATTTATGTGTACCTTTTTCTTTTAGCTGGGGCTAGACGATGAACAGATGGGGTTGAGTTTATGCATTTAAATGATTGATAAACAGCAGGTCATTGAATGGTTTCTCACACATTTTCATTATGCTTATCATTCATTATGATCTCAAATACTGATGTATTGCTGCCTTCACTGGAGTTGAAGAAGTTCTACATTCATTGCATAAGAAACTGGCTATACTCTTCGAACTTTTCTGTTTCCCTACAATCTTAGCTTGGATAGTTCTACTGACCTATGAACTTTAATCCAGCACCTGGAGCTGGAGTCAGAAAATAAATTAAAGAAAAACCTAAAAGAATCCATTTGCATACAATTTATTTCAAAATTTTGATGATTTGTAGGCTGTTGAGGTTGCCAATCAAGTGAATCAATGGGCTGAAAAGGAAACAAGCGGGCTTATCAAAGAAATTCTTCCAGCCGACTCAGTTGACAGTGCAACAAGACTTGTGTTTGCAAATGCACTGTACTTTAAAGGAGCCTGGGATGAGAAGTTCGATGCATCAGTGACTAAGGACAATGAGTTCCACCTTCTCAACGGAACCTCTGTTCAAGTGCCCTTCATGACTAGCAAGAAGAAGCAGTATGTAAAAGCTTTTGATGGTTTCAAGGTTTTGGGGCTTCCTTATAAACAGGGTGAAGATAGGCGTCATTTTTCCATGTACTTCTTTCTGCCTGATGCCAATGATGGACTGCCAGCTTTGGTAGATAAGGTCAGTTCTGAATCCCAATTCTTGGAGCGTCACCTTCCATATCAGAAGGTTGGAGTTGGTGAATTTAGTATCCCCAAATTTAAAATATCGTTTGGATTTGAAGCTTCTAACATTCTGAAAGGGCTTGACCTGGTATTGCCTTTCTCTGGTGATGGCCTAACTGAGATGGTGGACTCCCCTGTTGGCAGTAACCTTTATGTTTCTAGCATTTTCCACAAGTCCTTTATTGAGGTAAATGAAGAGGGAACAGAAGCTGCAGCTGCAACCGCTGGTGTGTTTAGACTAAGGGCATTGATGGTAGAAGAGAAAGTAGACTTTGTTGCTGACCATCCATATCTCTTCCTGATTAGAGAAGACGCAACGGGTGTGGTACTGTTTGCTGGTAGCGTGCTAAATCCTCTAGTAGACTAAGTTGTGTTCCACAATATGGATGTTGATAAGTGTTTGCATCTTCTTTGTATCGAATAGGAGAAATGTGGTCATTATTGAAAGGTCACTGCAGGGCTTGCCACTTCCTTAAGCTTTATGGTAATGAATTTCATATGAAGCTCTCTGCTTACAAACTTTTCATTCCTTGTAATTATTGGGGCTAATTTTAGATTATGCATTTGCATTTGGAGTTCTAAATGACAAAGAGGCTACTTTTGAAAATTATTATCTCAATACCTTCTAAAGCAAATCAAATACCATATAACTTGATTTGATATAATTTGTCTGCATTTATATGTGAGCAAGGCCGGTGCCGACCTTCTAGTACTGGAACTTTGGGAGTGACATTCGTTTTTGGACTTTCAACGAATTTTCTATTATCCAATCATATATTCTGTGGGGGTAATAATGGGTATTTCTATACGAAGTATCCGTTTCATTCCCTTTCTTTGTCTTGTAAAACAACTTGCAAAAATCAAAGTGAGAGCTACAACTATCTATTAGTATCAGAGTATGAACTATAAAGTGGACATTTACATAAAATATTTAAGTGTTCCAATCGAAAAAATAATTATAATGTTAAAAAGGATTATATAGGGTTGAAAGAAAATATTCTAGAAAATGTGTTCCAAAAAATACTAGATTGCCGGGAAATATATTTTAGGAAAATTGTTTTCCACCTAAAGAGGGAGAATGACTTCTCTCACTTCTGGGCGGAAGTCATTTTCTTTTATAATGTCACGACCCCATTTTTTCCCTCCGTAGGATATCGTGATGACACTTAATCTCTAAGACTAGGTAAGCCTAACAATTTGCGGAAATACTGAATATAAAACTGAACTCAAATCTCAACATATGAAATAGAAACAAAAACTACGATTTTTAATAGTTACAACTCCCAAAACCCGGTAGAAATAAGTCACAAGCTACTAAGAGAAAATACTAAGTGTCTCTATACATCAAGTCTAAAGAGAATAAGGGAAACAACATAATAAGATATAAGGGGACTCTGAGGTCTGCGGATGCTGGCAGATATATCTTGAAGTCTCCACGTACAATCCGGCTCATTGGTATCTGGTTTGGTGGGAAGAACCTGGATCTGCACAAAAAGATGTGTAGAGTGTAGTATGAGTACACCACAATGGTACCCAGTAAGTGTCAAGCCTAACCTCGGTAGAGTAATGACGAGGTCAGGTCAAGGCCCTACTGGTTTTAAAAGAAAAGTAAGGCAGAAGATATAATAATATTTGAAATGACTGAAAATTTAAATACGAGAAACTTTAGAAAATAACAGCTCAACAATTAGAGATAAACAATAGAGGTGCTCCAGAGATACCATCTCGTAGTCCCAAATATAAATATGCAAGATAGGGGGAATCTCCCGAGGAACCGCCTCGAGTCCCAAAGTAAATATGCAGTACATGGGGATCTCCCGAGGAACCGCCTCGTAGTCCCAAAGTAAATATGCAGTACAAGGGGATCTCCCGAGGAAACGTAGTCCCAAAGTAAATATGCAGTGCATAAAGGATCTCCCGAGGAACCGCCCCGTAGTCCCAAAGTAAATATGCAGTACAAGGGGATCTCCCGAGGAAACGTAGTCCCAAAGTAAATATGCAGTGCATAAAGGATCTCCCGAGGAACCGCCCCGTAGTCCCAAAGTAAATATGCAGTACAAGGGATCTCCCGAGTAACCGCCTCGTAATCCCAAAGTAAGTATGCAGTACAGGGGGATCTCCCGAGGAACCGCCTTATAGTCCCAAAGTAAATATGCAGTACAGGGGGATCTCCTGAGGAAACGCCTCGTGGTCCCAAAGTAAATATGTAGCAGATAACCGAAGGAACAACGAATTTACAGCAATAATCTTACAGTTAAAGATCTAATTCAAATCAAGGGAAGCAGGTAATTCAACTAAGCATGTTGCACAAATTGCAAGTAAGAGTTAAGACACGTAGACATGTGATACTAGGCTAACATGATCACTACATATGCTAAGGCAACTCAGTTAAGGAATTTAAAAGGAAACAACTCAGCAAGAACCGAAATTTTCACAATTAGCCCGTGTACGCACTCGTCACCTCAGGTACACGGCGCTCACATATCACAAATTGTTTCAACTGTACCAAATCCTAAGGAGATTTCCCTCACACAAGGTATACAAGTCACTTACCTCAAATCTCGCTCAATCAATCGATGAGGATGCCTTTCCCTCGATTATCTGACTCCGAATGACCCAAATCTAGCCAAAAGCAATTTCATATCATGAATACAACTACAAGAAACTAATTTAAATAATGAAACTACGACTTTAGCAAAGAATCGAAAATTCGGCCCAAAAGGTCGACCCGGACCCACGTCTCGAAATCGGATAAAAGTCACAAAATACAAACACCCATTCGATATAGACTTCACCCATATCAAAATTACCAAAATCCAACACCAAGTCGCCACTCAATTTTCCAAATTTAACTCTCCAAATCCCTAACCTCAAACTCCCACATTCTACCTTAAACACACAATCTAAGTGGAAAAATCAATGGAAAAATAAGATTATTGATAAAAAATAAGCACAAGGGACTTACCTCAAGAAATCTCTCGAAAATGCTCTCAAGAAATCGTGAAACCCGAGCTTAAAATGTCCAAAATGATAAAAATCCCGAACCCTTGAATTAATAGAGTCTGCCTAGTGTTTTCGCTTCTGCGGATCACTTGACCGCATCCGCGGTCCCGCTATTGCAGAAAATACACCATTTATGTAGTTTTGCCTAGACTTCCTTACCTCCGCTGCTGCGATTTCCTATCCGCTTTTGCGGACACACTTCTGCGAGAAGAAGTCCGCTTCTGCGGCTCCAGCGCACCCGCGACCTCCTTGTCCGCATTTGCGGTCTCGCAGATGCAGAATTTTTCTCGCATCTGCGACTTCTGCCCACACTGCTCCAGCCCGCATCTGAGCCCAAATGCCCGCTTCTACGGGCTCACACCTGCGATCAATCTTGCGCATGTGCGATTACACCAGAGTTGGTGCCTTCAGCCATTCTCCCAAGTCCAAATTTGATATGTTAACCAATCGGAAACCATCCGAGGCACCCACGACCTCAACCAAAACATACCAACCAGTCCTAATACATCATACAGACTTAGTCAAGCCTTTAAATCACATCAAACAACGCTAAAACCATGAACTGCGCATCGATTCAAGCATAATGAACTTTAAAACTTCAAACTTCTACATCCGACGCTGAAACCTATCAAATCAAGTTTGATTGATCTCAAATTTTTCACACAAGTCATAATTGACATTACGGACCTATTCCAACTTCCGAAATCGAAATTCGACCCCGATATCAAAAAGTTCACTCCCGGTCAAACCTCTCAAATATCATCCCATTTTCCAACTTTCGCCAATATACGCTAAAATAACCTACAAACCTCCGGTTCAACATCCGAACACGCTCCTAAGACCAAAATCACCCTACAGAGCTATAGGAATCGTCAAAAATCCATTCCAGAGTCGTATTCACACAATTCAACCTACAGTCAATTCCTGCGACTTAAACTTTCATTTTAGGTACTATGTGTCCCATTTCACTCTGAAACCAAAAATAAATCCCCCCGGCTAGTCACGTAATCACAAAATGAAATAGAGGGAGAAATAAATAGGGGTTCGGGGCTAATTCTCTCAAAATGACTGGCCGGGTCGGTACATCCTCCCCCTCTTAAAACAAACGTTCATGTTCGAACGAGTATAGAGACATACCTCGAGTGGTGAAAAGATGAGGATAACGGCTACACATATCATGCTCGGTCTCCCAAGTAGTCTCATTGATCGGATGACCCCTCCACTTCACCTCCACTGATGCGGTGTTCTTTGACCTCAACTTTCGGACCTACCTGTCCAAAATGGCTACTGCCTCCTCGATATAAGATAGATCCCTGTCCAACTGGACTGCGCTAAAGTCTAACACATGAGACGAATCGCCGTGATACTTTCGAAGCATGGAAACATGGAACACTTGATGAACTGCAGAGAGACTAGGTGGTAGTGCAAGTCTGTAAGCCACCTCTCCAACCCTTTCAAGAATCTCAAAAGGTCAGATATACCTAGGGCTCAACTTGACCTTCTTTTCGAACCTCATAACACACTTCATGGGTGAAAACCGGAGCAAAACCCGCTCCCCAACCATGAATGCAATGTCGCAAACCTTCAATCCGCATAACTCTTCTGCCTGTACTGGGTTGTACGAAGTCGATCCTGAATCAATTTAACTTTCTCCAAGGCATCGTGAACCAAGTCTGTACCCAATAGCCTAGATTCGCTTGGCTCGAACCAACCCACTGGAGACCGACACCGTCTACCATATAAAGCCTCATACGGCGCCATCTGAATGCTCGACTGATAACTGTTGTTATAGGCAAACTCTGCAAGTGGCAAGAACTGATCCCAAGCACCCCCAAAATCAATCACACATGTACGAAGCATATCCTCCAATATCTGAATAGTGCGCTCGGACTGTCTGTCCGTCTGAGGGTGAAATGTTGTACTCAACTCCACATGAGTACCCAACTCACGTTGTACGGCTCTCCAGAACCACGATGTAAACTGTGTATTCCATTCAGAGATGATAGATATTGGTACGCCATGAAGCCTGACAATCTCGCGGATGTAAACTTGAGCCAGCTGCTCCGAAGAGTAAGTAGTAACCACAAGAATGAAATTAGCTGACTTGGTCAATCTATCCACAATCACCAAACTACATCGAACTTCCTCTGAGTCCGTGGGATCCCAACAACAAAATCCATAGTGATTCGCTCCCATTTCCACTCTGGAATCTCTAACTTCTGAAGCAATCCACCCTGTCGTTGATGCTCATACTTCACCTGCTGACAATTTAGGCACCGAGCGATATACTCCACTATGTCCTTATTTATCCGCCTCCACCAATAGTGCTGCCTCAAATCCTAGTACATCTTCGCGGCACCTGGATGAATGGAGTACCACGAACTGTGAGCCTCCCGGAGAATCAACTCACGCAAACCATCTACATTAGGCACACATAGCTTGCCCTGCATCTGTAATACATCGTTATCGCTAATAGTGACTTCCTTGGCATCACCGTGCTGAATCGTGTCCTTAAGGACAATTATATGGGGATCATCATATTGACGCTCTCTGATACGATCATAAAGAGAATATTGAGAAACCACACAAGCCAAAACTCAGCTCGGC